ATATGGCATCAGGATTGGAGAAAGACTTATCAGCAACTTACAGGATGCAGATGACACAATCTTGCTTGTGGAAAGTGAGGAGGACTTGCTACTGCAGACGAAGAATTGCAGCCTTCAGTACAGAACACAACTCAATGTGATGAAGACCAACATCCTCAGAACTAGATCAATAAGTAGCATCATGATAAATGGGGAAAACATTGAAGTTGTCACGATTTTGTCTTTCTTGGATCCACAATCAGTGCTCATGGAATCAGCAGTCAAGAGGTCAAAGGACACGTTGCTTTGGGTGAATTTACTTACAAGACCTCTTTAAAATGCTGAGGAGCAAGGCTATTACATTGAGGACTAAGGCACGCCCAACCCAAGCCATCCTGTTTTTAATTGCATTTAAAAGGGCTGTGTTTCATTCCTTGGCATACAGGGTCAATTATGAGTTGAAACTCCTGGACAGCACCTTCCAACACAAGAACAGCACTGCATTGGACAATCCTGCAAAACCCAGGAATTGCCATTGAGTCAATGCTGATTCACCCTCTAGATCAGAGTGAAACTGTTCTTTGACGTTTTTGAGGCTGTACTTTTCATGGGAGCAGAAAGTCTCATCTTTCTCCCGTTGAGGGGCTGGTGGGGTAGCACTGCTGACCTTGCTGTTATCAGCCCAATCCACGGTGCCACCAAAGCTCCTTTAACATCTGCAAAAGTCCCCTTGAAAGTGATAAAGAGGAATGATGTCCCTTGGAGTGCTGAGGTATGTCTGAGCCAGGCCATGGCATTTTCAATCACCTTATCTGCCTGGGAAAGGTGGGCAAAGAATAAAGAAGACCCAATAATTGATGCATTTGAATGATGGTCTTGATAAAGAATAGTGAATATACCAAGACTTGTAGCAGAACAGATCTGTCTTAAACAAAGTACAACTACTATGCTCCTTAGATGCAACAAAAGCAAGGTTCTGTCTCACTTTGGACATTTTATCAAAAGGGACCAGTCCATTGAGGGGAAAAAGAAATTCTTGGTAAAGGATCAGTAAAAAGAGGAAGACCCTCAATGAGATGGTTTGACATGTTTTGCAGGTCTTTAAATCTGTTATGGCATAGTTGGTAACCCTTTCCTTCAAGGTGTCTTCAATGGCTACCGTGAAGATGTTGACAGGGGCTGTGGGTTAGTCTGGGGAAGGATTTACTTCCAAGATCACATGGTTGTAAGCAGAAACCCACTTCTGTTTTAGCTGTTGGGTGAAGGTGTCATTTTCTTGCAGACTGTCAGAGTGTGGTTGGTGGTGAAATGGCCCCCTTCAAGGAGTATATCTTTATTTTCACTTGATTTCTGAACATCAGCAGTTAGCATTTTGGTATGACAGTTCTTTTCTTTCTGTTCTTTAATGTATTTTTCTACAGCCTGTGGCCTTCCTGGTTTCTAGGGAGAAATTTACGACCACTTGGGTCATTATTCACCTACACATATGGGTTGCTTTTTTCTATCTACTTGCAAGATTTCTCCATCATTTTCTTTCACTTTCAGAAGTTTGATTGCACTATGCCTGAGTATCTTCTTTGAGTTCATCCTCTATGTAATTAACTGACCTTCTTGAATACATAAATTTATATTTTCAAATATTGAAGATCTCTAGCCATTAATGTTCAAAAGTTTTGCACAAGGTCTCACTCCTATTGGTCTACAATTACAAATATGTTCGAGGAAGGTTCTCAACCTTCCTAATGTCGCGACCCTTTAATACAGTTCCTCGTGTTGTGGTGACCCCCCCCCAACCATAAAATTATTTTTGTTGCTACTTCACAACTGTAATTTTTCTACTGTTATGAATTGGGTGTCTCCTGTAAAAGGGTCATTTGACCCCCAAAGGGGTCACCACCCACAGGTTGAGAACTGCTGTTAAACTTTTTGTGTTCCTGGCGTCTCAGTCTCTGAGGTTTCCCAAGTCTTTACCCCCCCCTTCTTTCTCTTTCTTTTTCCATTTAGATTACATAATTTAAATTGATATTTGACATTTTACGCAGTATCAGTGGTTTTTCAATATATTCAAGAATTTGTTTGGATCTGTCCAATAAAATTTTCCTAAATTCAAGTCCTCATTTAACTTCTTTATTCTGCCTTATACATAAAATAAGGATATCAATACCATCAATCCCTGTCATCTCCATCTTGTTCTTATTGATTTAGTTTTTTCATCAAATACGGCTTCTTCTCCGACTAGCTCATTGTTATCAATAATAGACTGCTTGCCAAGATTAATAGACACTTTTCAATTTGCCGGTCCAAGAAGGAGAAGGAGAAGAGACCAAACTATTTGCTGCTATAATGCTGGTAGGATTGTATTTCATTATAGTGCAGTGAAATGTCCCTTAGGACTATGGTCAAGTGAAAGAAAGCCAGATTTGTAGTTACTTTAATGAAAAAATTGAATTTCTTTTGTTTTTGTAACAGAAAAGTCTGCAAGAATGAAAAGATTGCTCATATAATATTCTTTTTCTATAAACTTCATAATGGGGCATGTAATTGTTGTCAAATATTTGAAAATCTGCCATATATCAAAGAAATAAAAACCTGAAACACATTTTTAAACAGCTTCATGGGTTGCTCCTTTAAAGGTAAGAACTACACACGTTTAGGAAACAACCTTGACAGACTAGTTAGAGGTGGAAAGCCTTTGTGAATATAATCTGTGAGGAGGCAGCAGCAAATGAAAACTGGTGGCTCCCCTGCTCTCTGAATGAGAGCTAAACCAGAGAAGTGTAGGAAGGTGACTACAGAAAGGAGAGAAGTGACTGCTCAGCATAGTGGGAAGTGTGGAGTCAAGGTTTCATGGTAACTAGTGGGATTCGCCAACCATGTATTACCGAGTGATTGCACAGCCGCTGCCTAGCGGGTCACCCAGCAGATCCAATCCATAACCCAAGCTGCTCCATGTCAGACAGAGAGAGACAGTAATGGATTTGGGGGAGGGGGCCACATGGGAGGGGGATTTGGAATATTCTCCTTTAATTACTGGAGTAGGTAGAAAACATTATTTTTTCCATCAGAGCTTCAGAAACACAGTTGTTGTTCTTGTTGCCTTGGTTGGCTGCCAACAAGTCATTTCTGACTCATGGTGACCTTGTGCTCAGTCCTGCACCACCCTCACAATTGTTCTTGTGCTTCAGCCCGTCATTGCAGCCACGGTCTCAATCTATCTAGTGGAGGTCTTCCTCCTTTCCGTGGCCCCTCTACTTCCCTAATCATGATGTCCTTTTCTAGGGACTGGTCTCTCCTGACAACACGTCCAGAGTACTTGAGTGCCCCCTCCTGGTCTCTGAGGAGCAGTCTAGCTGTACTTCTTTTGGCAGTCGGTGACATTTTCAATAGTCTTCCCCAGGACCATAATGCAAGTGCATGTAAGTTATTATATATACTCATGGTTTGGGTTTATTTGGATGGTTTTGAGGCGTGGGCAGTGGAGGGGTCTCCAAGGACAATGATGAATTGTAGGCCTCGGTAGGTAGAGAAGGAAGGGCATAGTCATGGGAGATGCGGACAGCAGAAGCAAAACACCACCGGCATCAGTTAGATAACAGACTGCACATGGATGTCTCCTTCTCCTCCCTCTCAATCCCAGTGAGCATTTGGAAGAAATAATAAAAATGCAATCAAAATCACACAGAGCTGGCAAAATAGATTTCTTATGAGCAAATTGGAACCATGATCCATTCCTGGAAGACAGGTGAAAATAGGTAATGTCAAAACTCAGCAAAGCAGGAAAAACCAACAGCCCCATGAGATCAACAAAGCGGCACCCCAATAAGTGAGATTACGCGTAAGCCTTTCAACAAATCTCAAATCGAATGCAGGAGAGACGGGGGAAGCATGGGCTGGCTATGGGCAGGACAGTAAGAACTGAATGAAAGGGAAGGTGAGTTAAGACGATCCAAGTACCTTAAGCCCATTCCAACATTGCCTTCCCAATAAAGTCTCCAGGAAGCTCTTGACGTGTGAGTTTAGAAGAAGAGGAAGACTTTCTACAGGTACTGGAGATAGGGCCTCAGGCACTGGGCAGGCTCCGGGCTCCAGGAAGATGAGAGGTCGTGGGATCCAGAAGGGGAGCTCTACTCACGGTACCACACTGACAGCAATTATTCCACTTCCTGCATAGTCCTTGAAACCAAGACTCTTATATTCAGAATGCTAATCATTTCTACAAGGAACCGTGGTCACGAGCTTGGTTGCTTACTAAAAGACTGGCTGCTCAAACCCATTCAATGGCTCTGTGGGAGAAGGACCTAGAGATCTACTTTCACAATGATCACAGTCCAAGACACCAGAAGGGGGCAGCAGTTCTGTTCAGTCACACAGGGACCAAAAATGCTGTGGAGTCATTTGACAACAATTATTTCTGAAAATTATATTCCTTGAGGGCAGCCACAAACTTTGAGATACATCTCTGCACGGTAATTATCACATATCTAATTACTTACTTATTCATCTGGCTCCCTCTATAAATGAATATTCATGAAAGTGACTTCAAGTCAAACATGGCACCTCACACACCAAAAGTGAACAAGAAAATGTTTGTTTAATGTGAAGTAATGAAATATTCAGCTGTAGGTGATCTGGAAAATATCCATTAGTCTGTCTCATATGTGTGTTTGATCTTTCTTATATTAATATTCTTCAAAGCATTCTTGCTGAGTGCTATTTTTAGAGAGCTATGATGTTGGACTGGGTTTCTCAGTGGGTTGCTAACCATGAAGTTGGCAGTTCAAAGCCACCAGCTTCTCCACAGGAGAAAGACGAGGCTTTCTGCTCCCATGAAGATTTACACTGTTGAAAACCCACGGCAACAGTTCTAGCTTATCCTCAGGGTCTCTGTGAGTCAGAGCGGACTTGAGTCTAGTGAGCTGCTAGTGCTGTTCTTGGCAACACGCACATCCACACACAATCACACAAAGGCAGTTTATTTGTTCACAACATGCATTTGTGGGGGGGAAATGTAATATACTTACGTTTCTGTTGGAATTGTAAATGGATGCAATCTATAATTCAAAAATGGACTTGAAATCTCAAGAAACTGTTCAGGTTTCTTCACTACTGGTTCTAAAACAAAGCAATGAAAAAGTATGAGATACATCTTTTTAAAAAAACAGCAACACTCCAAGATAATATAGAGAATTTCCAGTTGATACCTTATTGTTTAGATAAGCTATTTACCCAGCAAATTTCACTCACGTCATCTAGAGATGGACTAGAATACATAAAAAATGTTGGAGGGACTTCCAGGGCCACGTGAGATTTCCTTTATCTACCTTGCTCTTGCTTTCCACAATACAAGGTGAGACACTTCAGTCTCAGGGAAAAGGGATCCGAATGGCCCCTGAGAGCTATCAGTTGGTCTTTGCTGCTACTGCCATTAAGAGAATGACTTTGTAGAACAAGTACTTCCTGAGAAGTTGCATTCTCTTCTCAACGCAGCTGTTCAGGGCACAAGGAAGCGTGAGAAACAGTAAACAGAGGTAAGAGTGAACAAAGGGGAAATCCAACAGGGATAATAAGGTCATGAGTAGAAAAGGAAGTTGGCAGCTCAAGGAATGTGTTGTGGCCACTTGTAAAGAGGTCTGACCCTGACTCCTCCATGGGGGAGGACCACAGGCCACATACGAGCCTGGTGAGTACAGACCGACACGAGGGATGAGTGCTTCAGCAAAAGGCCCTGCCACAGCGGAAAGGATGCATGTCAGAGGGGGAAAGGGAGCCTGTGACCCACTGTGTGTGATTGTTCTGTGCCTCCTCTAGGCTATCCTCCCACAGGACCTCGCCCCCTTCCGTGTTACTTTTCACTGTACACACGAACATCTATAGACAGAAGACATGCAAGTATGTGGGAAGCATCCGGGTGACACCCCACCAGGGAATCCCACCAATCATTAGATCGTCTGCCTGTTTTCAGCGGAGAGGTTACTTGCCTATCGTTAGCAACCGCCAGTAATAAAATCGGAACAAACCCCATGTTCAATAGTTTCCCTTTTATCCCCCTGTTTCTTACCACTGTGAATAAACAACTGTTTCCAGTACGGCTCCATGCATTTTGCTGAAATATAGCATTTACAAGGAAAGGATTTCCACCTGTTTCAAGGGTGACATGGGTGCTCATTCTGGGCTCAGAAAAGACTACAAAAGGACAGGAAGAAAGGAAAATGGGCAGTGAGGTGAAGGGAGGGAGGGATGGAGGGGGGCTTGTGGGATCTGCAGTGGGTACAGGTTGTAGGCGCAGAAACTCAAGGGATGTTGGGAAATGACTGACATCAATAAGGGGGAAGTGAGGAGGCAGGTGAGCCTCAAGACAAAGGCAGACAAACAACAACTAAGCACCGATGGTGTCTCCTCTCCCCCACACCAGACACTTTTCCTCCATCACCCTTCTTTCTGGCAAGGATAAAACAGCTGTGCTGGAGAAATCTTTGCTACCCAACGTAACTGGCTGGAACACTGTAGGCAGAAAGCAAATGGGAGGGAAATTACACCGCTCACCATTGTTATTTATATTTTTAAAATGTGCAAATTATGGTAGGAAGTAGGAGGCAAAGAACAGGTAAATACCCCAATCTCAGTGGTGACTGCGGTCTCAGGCTCCTGACTCCGGGCTCTGGGGACTGCACAATCCCTTGCAGTTTTAAGATCCTGACTACCACTGAGCTTTACGCTGTGCCTGCGATGTTGCCCTTGAGATTGTCACCTGCAGCACAGGATTAACAATGTTTGCAGGGCAGCAGAAGCCACGGCGGCTTCAAAGGCGTACTCACCGCTCATGGGGAACAAGGCCCGGCTCATGGGATCAAACACTTCAAGGATATTTATAAGCTGATCACCGAAGCCTTCAGTGAACTGGTGCTATGCATGCTGATTGCTCACTCGGGTGAACAGGGTGTACGGTACTGAATCAACAGGATTAGAAAATAAAGAGACAGAGGGAGAAAGTGCAAAAAGCAAGGGAATAAGCACAAGAAAGTCCTATAACAGCTGTTTGGTAACACAGATAGCAATGGATGCTTTCTCACAGTGAGGGCCAGGCATGACTAGCACCCTGCAGTCAGTTCCAACTCTTGGTAATTTCACATGGTTCGGAGCTTCCATGGCTGTGGGTATTTACGCCCTTCACCAGGTTTTCCTCCGGAGAGGCCTCTAGAGGTCTGCAAACCTTGGCATTTTATTCACATGGGAGCACCTAACTCTTTGTGCCACCCTGAGGTGTCCAATCAGATACACACATCCATAGCCATAAAGGTTGAAAACATGCCCAAATTCTGCCATATTCTAATCTTTTAATTCTCTTTTCTTGTTAAAAATCTCCTCCCTTCATGGTCACACTTCTGCTTCAGATTTCAGTGGTCACCGATGAACTCCTTCAGCAATTTAAAATAACAGGAGAAACAGGAGGTCGTCTGTTCCCATAAAGATTTAAGTCTTGGAAAACCAAATGGGGCAGTTCCATTTTGGGTCGCTGTAGGGTCACAATGAATCAGAATCAATTCACTGGCAGTGAATTTGATTTGTTTTGCTCATTTTGTTGTCAGTCGGTACTTCTTTGCAAACAAGACATATAAGCAGGCGCCATGGGGTGGTGAGGAATTAGCAAGAATGAAGACTTAAGGAGTGAATGATTAGACACACTTTGGGAAGAAAAGAAAAGGTTGGAACTCCCTGTCAGCCTCTCCATACATCCCACTCCTTGCCCAATTGAGTCTGGTCGTGGCTGAGATGAGATGCAATCTACTATGTAGCTAGGTGACACTATTAGGCACAGGAGCCAGTTCTAGGCAGATGCTCTGTCTACTTCTATAGAGATTCTAGATGCAAATGGAATCACACAAAGGTTACAAGCCCAAGTGTGCGCTCTAAAGATGTTCACCTGAGACATTCATTGGGTGGGTTCTCGTGTTTCTAGATTTTTAAATATCCTGTTGTTGTTGTTGTTGTTGAGCATACATACAATGCAAAACCTGTACCATGCCCACAGTGTCTACAGGAACAGTTCAATGACATGGCGCACCATCTTCAAATTGAATAACCCTTGTCACCCTCTTCTCTGACTTGCTTGTCCCGCATGAACCTGCACTTGCTCCCCTCCAAGTTTCTGATTCAGTCTTGGCAAGTTGCTCTTGTCAGTTTGATCCCAGTGGTTAAAAGAACACAAGGTTCAGGGCAGATGGGTTTTACTAATTAGCTTCACGGTGGTTCAGTTGAGATGACGTCCGAGCACATATTTTGGTTGAAGGTTGGAAGGTTTTCTCAGGGCAGTCGCTTGGGGGATTCATCCAACCTCATTGGTTCAAAAAAAGAAAAATCTTGATGTTTAATCCTAAATATATACATGCATAACCTTAGGACAGAAGCATTTATTTTTAAAATTCTATCTATTTGTGGCCATTCAGGTATTTCTACAATATATCCATGCTCAGTATTGCTTCATTTTGTGCTTTCTACTAAAGGCTGTTTGCAATATATTACAATTTAGACTTGAAAAAGCATTGCTAAGCTTCTAAGCTGCTGTGGTCTTCAAATGCTACAACTTCTGGACATGCCATCAAGGGTAGGGGTCAGGTGTACCCTGGGGTGGTTTACTTTGATAGACATTATCCACCACAGATGAAACAGGTGGCCTTCATCGAGAGAAAGGGTCACTAAAAAACATGTGTAAAGACCAAGTGAGCCTTACCTTGGGCTTCATCTGTCACCACCGTTTCCTTTTTTTGACGGATGAGCTTCCAGGCAGGTACCGGTGGTGGTTTGGGTGGGGCTATAAGAGGACAAGACCTTGTTCTGGTCACCAGCACAGGGTGGCTACAGATGTGCGAGAGCCCGTATTCTCGGAGCTTCTCAGCAGAATCTGCCTAAAAGGGAGAAGGCCGATTTAAGCGTGTTGTGATTGCTTTTATGCATTTAAAGCCATACTTTGGTCACTATGAAATCAGCTCATGGAGATACAAACTCAAATCAAACTCACTGCCATCAGGTCACTTCTGCCTCAGAGTGACCTTCTGTACAACAGAACACACCACTGGTCAGTCCTGTGCCATCCTCACGTGTTTGCACCCGCTGCTGCCACTGTGCCAATCCATCTGGTGGAGGGCCTTCCTCTTTCTCACCGCCCCTCTGCTTTCCCAAGCACGATGTCCTTTTCCAGAGTCTGGTCTGTCCTGGCAGCATGTCCAAAGTACATGAGATGAGGTCCCACCATCCTTGCTTCTGCGAAGCATTCTGGCTGTACCTCTTCCCAGGCAGACTCGTCTGTTCTTTTGGCAGTCCACGGGACTTTCAGGGTTCTTCACCAGTCTCAGTACATGAAATACGACAACCCAGCCTGCACCGCCCTGTCCCATCAGCACTCTTATTATCTGTATTTACCCCTGACTGTGAGTAGTTCTCAGGCCCGTGTCTTTGGATATAAACCAATCGATCGACTGGAGCTAGCTGATACGTTTCCTTTCTACGGGTTTATGGTTCTATGAGATTGCAAAAATCTTAGCATGGGAGTTTTGGTTTGATATGAGAAAGAATTATTTTTTATATGTGAAAGCTTTGTCACAAGTGCTTGATATGTGACAATGTGCAATTGTGGTTTCTTTTTAACCATTAGCAATTGAAAAGTAGTGGGGTTTTTTTTTTTTAAAGGAACATAAATCAATGAGCCCATTATTGGTTGCTTATATTGTCATTTATAATTTATCAGTGCTCTATCTCCCAGTTCCTCCACAGAAAATCCCCATGAATCCCCAGTACAATGGCAGTGTTCATACAGTCATGCAGGGGACAAAAGTTATTCAAATTCAAGAACTGCCCAGGTAGATGCTTCCGGGATTCAAATCTCCAGATCACTTGAGGTCATTCTGATTTGTAATTGTCCAAAGCAGGTTTACATATGATAGCTGCAATATGCCATAAGACATTTTAAAAGTACATGAGAAATTAAGTAATATCTTGGTAGACAAATGCTGACTCTGACAGCTTATGTTGACATTTAAAATGAAACATTATCTACATGAAAGTCCATTTTGCTGCTAACTGTTTTGTTCCTAGTGATTTGGGATTGCTGAGTTCTATGCAAATGGCAGTGGTTGCAACTGTCCATTTGGAATGCAATCATTGAAATTAGAATCAGGAACAAGGCTATGAGCCTGTTTTAAATGACTGCTTCAGCTCGAAACTGGCTTACTCTTGTGTCTCTGTGTCTCTCAACCTATTCTGTTCTGAGGTGTAAAACCACAGCAAATAATGAGAGAGTGTAGTTCCGCCTGAGGCCTGGGAATAATCATGAGGAGTTAATCATTATGGACTACACCTTAACAGAAAGAGAGCAAAAGTCCCAGAAATGAACCAACAAGGAGCATCAGGATAAATGAAGAAAGGATTGAAGTTGTCAGAGATTTCATTTCATGGATCTACTATCAATGCCCCCGAAAAGCAGTGGAAAAGAAATAAAACAATGTATCACAATGGGCAAATCTGCTGCACATACCGCTTTGAATAGTTAGAAAGTTAAGCTGTCAGGATAAAGACTCAGGTGAGCCTGACCCAAACCATGGCATTTTCCATTGTCTTGACCATAGGGGAGCACAAGAACTGATGCCTCTGAAGTGTGAAGTTATGAATAATGATGACTATATCATGCGCTTCCAGGAGAAAGAACAAATCTGTCTGAAAAGAAATACAGTCGGAATGCTCCGGAGAAGAAAGGGTGCTAAGACTTTGTCTCGAGTATGTTGGGTTTGTCAACAGGAGGGGTCTGTCCTTGGATAGTGAGGCATGCTGGGTAAAGGAGAGGCTTGCTGAAAAAGAGGAAGACCTTCAATGAGAGGAAATGCTGCCACAATGGGCTCAAACACAGCGATAATTGTGAGGATGGTGCCGGACCAGGCGGCGGTGCTTCCTTCTGTTGTGCACCGTCTCTATGAGTTGAACCCAACTTGACGGCATTTAACAACAACCAGTCAATCATTGCACTCTTGTGGCCAACAGCAGGGAGTCTTATAAATATTAAAAATAAAGTGAAAAGTGATTTAATATCAAAAATACAAGTAGCTTTAATACTTCATATTTAGAATCTAAAAAAAAAACCACCTGATTTTCTCTGCTCTGGATATTGTGGATTACAGTAATTTACTGAAACATTCGGATACTTTTGGCATTATGCCTGAAAGGGGCTTAAACCAAAAAAATAGAAAAAAATACAACATTTAAAGATGATCTAAAGTCTAAGCCCTTTTCTTATAACTCTAACCCTGTAAAATTTTAAAAGCTTCAGTGAGCTGATTGAAGTTTTTAAATCAAGTCAATGGAAACTTACAGGAGAATTTATTGATGCTATTCTTTGAGAGACTCTTGCAGTATGGAGTTTTTCAGAAGTGCACTTCTACAGAAGTTATATTTAAATAATATAAAAAATTGAAGTCACACCCAACCTAGCTTTTATATGTTGAATCATTTCTAGACATTTTACTATTCATTAAATTTAGTCTACATACCTCAATTTCTTCTACTGATTACACTGAAAGCTTTCATCTATTTTCCTTTTTTTTAGCTGTATATCATTAGAAAATAAAAGGATTTAGAGCATTTTGAAAATGTAAAGTGCTGTCCCAAATAACAAAGTGTGTTATTAGCAAGTGGTGTAGAGTTTGAATAACCCACAAAAGTGCCACCATAATTTAAAATATATACGACGATTATGCTCATACCACATTTTCTGAGTTGTTAAAAGACTGCTGAGTTCTTTTAACAAAGTTTGAAGGTCTTTTCCGAAAAGACCTCAAAGTTCCTTTGATTAGAGTTAAGTCAAGGCAGAGAGGCATTTAGAACAATGCTCAAAACATGCCTTCCGGTCAGTTAGCCATCGAGAAGACAAACGCTAGGGGCACAATAGAGTACAATAATCATCCTATTGGATTGGGGTATTTACATTTCAATCGATTTTTCACTGAGATTTTTAAAAAAAACATTTGCTTCTCCTGACGAGGAGCCCTGGTGGCACAGTGGGCTGTGCACTGAGCTGTTAACCACAAGGCCAGTGGTTTGAAACCATCAGCTGCTTCGCAGGAGAAAAGGATTTAACAGTCACGGAAACCCAAAGGGTCACTTCTACTCTGTCCTATGGAGTCACTATGCGTGGGAGTCTTCAATAGCAGTGAGGTGGAGTTCTTACGTGACAAACAGAACAATTATATTTAATTAGATCACTGTCACATTTGTTCTGTTAAACTCCTCCATAGTACTTCAGAACACAGGGAATTCTACTAATAAACTGCTAGTCGTCTAAACATTCCAAAACCATTAGGATTCAGTAAGTCCAGATGTGATTGGACATTCGACCAAGCAGACTGTAGAGTAATCTAATGGTTGTTGCTCTTTATAAGGGAATGAAAAATGATTGTCCTGTTCAAGGGGGAAAAAATAGCCTTGGCTTCAAACTCACTTAGGTCATCTTATGTTAAAAAAATATAGGCAGGCTTCAACAGTTCACGAAGAAAACATAATTAGAAGATCATGGAATTTCCCCATGAACTTGTTTGAAGCTCTTCATATATATGACTTATCAGAATCTGAAAAAGACTGAAATATTTCTCATGGAATATATACTTTCTTTTGCCTTTTGCTTGCTTATAACGAATGGAAGCTATGCAAAGAAAAGTAACAGCATTGTTGCTTTGTTCTAAAATTTCCACCATCTAAGATAATTTCATGTATGTGTCAGGTCCCTTAGGTTAAGTACCTAATTATCAAGATAAGGAGAGTGAAATCCGGAGATAGACTTTTAATTAAATGGGGTGTCCCTGCCACCACACAGTTCACAGCACGCGGGCACATGCTCAGAGAGCAAGGGAGATCAGACATAACAAGGCTCAGCCAGGTCTAGGGTCCTTACCATCGTCTCCAATGAAAAGATCTTCTTTTCAAACAAATAGAGAGGCGTAAAGGTAGCGTATACCACCATGTGAGGGGGCAGTGTTGCCGAAGAACCTGGAAAACCAAACACACAGTGTGTCACGAACATTCTAGTCTAAATGGGTTAAGGCGTCCAGCCTCCCAGAGTGTTCAAGTCCCTCGATGAAACTTACCTTTGTGGGTGGAAGATTGACAAATGACTCTAAATGAAGCTATCAAAGAGTTAAGTCTCAGCATGTACAATTACGTGTGAGTTGCCATCGGAGCAGATTCTAATTCCATGCCATCCCACAGGAGCACAGCAGAACTTTTTCAAAGGGGTTCAAGGCTGGGATCCTTTAGAAGCAGATACCCAGACCTTTATGTTGAGGTACCTATTGGTGGATTCAAATTGCCAATCTCTTTTTCCTTACCCTGTTTACTGAGAATTGGATGAAGGTTGACAGAGCAGATCATCAGTTTGGCATTCAACAACTCATAACCATCTTGGGTCATGTCGTCCATGACAACCCAATGTAACACCCGTATCCCACCTTCCTCCCTGGTTCCAGTGCTCCTTTTATCTGAACCCTTCTGGACTTCCTCCTTGGGAGGATGCTGTCCTTTGGAGATCTCAAATGTTTGGTTACTCGAAGGTGGGGCCACCTCCCTAGTGATACCGTTCCACTACAGAACGGTCTACCGAACATTGAGCCAAAGGTGAGGAGTTCAGTTCCACACCTGCTGGGTGACCAAGGGCCACAGTCTTGAAGGTCCCACTGCTCTCTATCCAACCATTTAGTCTGGCCTTTTGCAAGATTTTGAGTTCTGGTCCTCATATTTCTCCCATTCTAGCTGGGGCCTGTCTGAGCACAAGCTGCCAACTTTGGGCTGGTGGTTGGTTGCTTCGCCATTTGCACCACACACCACACAGAAAGTTGTCGTTTTATCCCATTGTAAAAAGTTAACACGGGAACCTTCTCCAGTGACCAGTCAGTGTAATGTACAAGGGGCCACAAATAAGTGGGCATGCCCCAAGGTCATGATTTTACAATGGGAGCATTTCTTGGTTTCCATAGATAGAATCTTCTTAAATGTCAAAAAGTGTCTATGTCATTTAAAAGATGAAATGAAAAAACAAATGAAAGATTCCTTCTATGACAAAGTAAAACAGACATAAGTGGATTCAGAATGCAAAATTTGCAAACTTCACTTGCAAAATTTCCATTGAGCATATTTAATATAGCTGAAATTACTATGCTTAAACCAGAATGCTTGTGCTCTAAAAGGATTCTGGTCGGATCAATAGAAGCCCATTTCTTTTGCTCTCTTCACTTTATTGTTAATCATTGTTTTGTTTTACACCTGTACAAATTCAAATATTTAACACTTAACTGAATTAGAGAACATGTTTATAGAATATCACCTTCGAGCCTTAAAGTACAAATTAGATAGGAGTGTGGATCTCTAGATAAATCAACAAATGAGATATACCGAACTTGTCATAACATATTAAACTATACATTCTTCAGAGAAAATGCCAGCACATATTGATTTCTTATTAACCACATGACTTACCATGAGCAGTTGGTATTTACCTGTTATATATTTGCTTGTTATTGTGTTATGTCTATTTATGCTGTTTCACAACTAACTTTCAGTCCATTTGTGTGCAGAGTTTGAGTTAATACTTTACTTAAAAGCATGTTTCATGAAATACAGCTAATTCTCTGGAATAAAAAATATGATTTATGGATATAAGGGCAACTGCTCCAAGGGACTTAAAAAAAAAAAAACTGCCATCAATTTTGAGTCCCATTTTTAGTGACTCTATGGAGCCACGTAGAACCTCTCCTGTAACTCTCCCACAAAGCAATTGGTGCTTTTGAACTACTGACCTTGTGTTTAGCACAACGAAGTACAACCATTATGCCACCAGAGCATCTCAGGACAACTCCTAATTTCCCTTTAATTGTATATAAATCTGCTCTCAAATTGAAATGATTTAACCAACACATCCAACAAATGATTCACAGCAAATCCATTGGGCAGGCAGCTTTTAGACCATATAAAGAGCTGCCATTAAAAAGCTTGTATGAAAAAAAAAAAAGCTTGTATGAATTAAGTATAAATCAGAACTGTATGTAGCCGTATGCACTTACCTACGAATCTGACTTAAAGACACACTTAGGAATTGACCTCTTTTGTAACCAAGGACTGCATGTAGGAAGTTTTACATTTTTACTAAGTAGCTCCAGACCACAGTTGCAACAAAATTATCCTCTTTTATAGAAAATGAATCTGAACCCCCCAAAAAAGTTGCACGGTGATAATAAGCAATAATTATTTCTACCACCATCAACAGGTAAAACAATGTGATATCTGGAACCAGAAATACCGCTCTGACCCAGAGTGATCCTGGTTAGCAGGGACTCTATCTACCAGTTAACTGGCTAACTGGTAAATCTCACCAGGGCCCTTCAATCATTCCACTAGTGAACAGAAGGACACAAATGTCTTTCTGGCTTCAGCTGAAGGATGATTGCCAGTGTGTGGAAGAACATTGTGGCAGAGAAAAATGGTGATTATCAAAAATGTTTTTTAAAAAGTCAGAGTCCTGGTGGTATTACGGGTTAAGTATTAGGCTGAGAGCTACAATCAGGGTTCAAAATCACTAGTCTTTCTGAGTCAGAAAGATGAGGTTTCTGCTCCCATAAAACCTGGGATACCCTCTGTTGGGTCCATCTGGCAGTGAGTTATCTATCTAGAAAACTTTCTGCTCTAGGAGGAAGAGGCTAAATGACCTTTCAAGGTCATTTCAGGTCAGGATTAACTAGTTGATCCCTTAGAAATCTGTGGAAGGTAAGGAGTGGCAGAAAGAAGGGTGAGGGTCTCTCTTTGATCTGGCTATTGAAAAGAATTAGGCTCTTTCTTGCCTAATTTTAATTCTAAAAAAATGTGCTTGCATTTCAGACTTTCAATTTTTACTCCTGCTTCTTCTAATCCTAGAGTTTCTTTTGTGTCAAAGTAAAACCAGAAAGAGAATGAAAGAAATATGTTTAGACATTCATAGATGATGAAATTGGAAAGACAGAAAAACATTAAATTAAAATTAAATGGTCAGGATAGAGGAGCAACCTGGGAATGGTTCATTAATGATTCATTTTCTAAGTTTGGCGGGGGGTTAATAAACTTAAGCGGAAAAATAATCATTGGGTGAAGTGAAATTCCTTAATGTGGTCCTTCTTTCTCAAATGATCAGATGGTACCATGCAAAGAAATTGAAGAAGAGTCTTCAGTTGGGGTGGGTTGGGGTTGCCATTTCCCTGGTGTTAAGAATCAAGCATCTTCAAAGCAGAGAGGGAGAATTCCCAAACCATCAAGGTAGAAGAGCCACCAGGAAAGCACTCGGAAATTCTTGTCTAAAGTGGCGGACTAAGCAGAGGCCATTCCACACAATGACCAGAGCTGAGGCAAGGACACCATGACAAAGAGCAGAGGAGCAGCACTGAGGCTAAGAGGTAATGAAGCAGCGGAGGAGCCAGGCTTCTGGCTCAGTGAAGGAAGAGGCCAAGGCACCACATGGCTAAGAGACTGAGGGCCAATGAGAGAGACAAGGCTGCTGGGTGAGGAGAGGTGCTGCTGTGGACTAATCACTGTATCCTTAATATTTTGTGATCCTGACTCTAGTACCTGTTAGCTTCCACAATAAACCCCCATGTTGTGGGTATTGTCTGTAACAAATGGTCAAGCCCAGGATAGAAGCAGAGTGCCTTGGGAGGAAAAGTAGTGTCAGAATAAAGAAAGATGGAGGATAGAGGCATATCTGGCCTCTGCCTTGTGCCTATCAGCCTTGGGTTGGTGTGGAGATGGATCTTCTTTTCTTCCCTACTGAAACAAGACGGTCAGAAGTGGTCCCCACACTGTTTTCACATTGCATTAGTGGAGCCTTCAATAGAGTGCATTGGGTATGAGTGGTTGCATTATCTGCAAATCAAACAGGGGGACATTGAAATGTTTGTGGAAAGGGGGAATGAAAATCTAATGGAATTTGTCCTCAACTGTTTTGAAGTCCTGTAGTATAAGTGACTATAAATCCTTAAAAAGCTCTGAAGAATCAGAAACCCACAGGGGCAGTTCAACTCTGTTCCATACAGTCACTAGAAGTCAGCCATGACGCCTTGTGAAATGCTAGTTCAAGTGAATGGAGTACAAATGGAAGACAAGTGAAATGCCACTTTAACTCTTCATATAAAAGAAACTTTAATATGTATCTAGAAATCTACTACTAAGAACTTCTTTTATAACACCATAATGGAAGATTATGAAGAATAATAGGAATAAAAGAAACTCTTAGTAACACTAAAAAAACAATGAAAACATAAGATAAATGGGACATGGACAGGCCTCAATCATTGCTGAAAGAACAAACCAATGAATAACTGATTTATAATGGTATGTCCTGAAATATGTCCCCTGGATCATCAGCACTACTAAAAACCTTCGGGGGGTTGGGGAAAAGGAAAGAAGGAACAAAGGCTAGGAGGTCAAGAGAAGTCCCAGTGTGAAGACAAAATGAATCGCCAAGTTCATTGGAACAAAGAAGGCCAGTACCTCTGAGAATCGCCCATCAGTCACTGAATTTTCAATGTAACAATAATATTTCAATGACTAAAATTTACTTATTTGGAATACCTCTGGAAAATGATGTTGCAAGTAAAATTTATCTTTGCTTTTAATTGGCTCTGTTTAGAAAATGATTTTTGACACAATTGTTAAAATGCATACAAAATTATCATCTATAATAGATGTCCAGTTAGAATGAAACTTGCCAGCTTGTAACAAACAACTGAACTAACAACATTCCCAAAGAGTAATCATTTATTGGTCACACAGAATGGGCAATCTGAAGACAAGTGGATGCTACGCTGGCTTATGTACTCAATAGCATTGGATAGATGTAGCGGAATTTTGACTGGACTCTCTCTAGCACTTACCACACCTCCTAGTCCTAATGTTGCCTCCAATTTCAAGGCGAGATGAAGGTGAAGGGAAAAAAAAAGGAAGGAACCGGCAAGTCCAACCAATCCTTTCCA